GCATATGTTTTATTCTGAAAGGAAAAGTACTGGATTCTCATATACTGTAATAACTAAGAATGTAACAAAAAATAAAGAAAATCAGTTACAACTTTYAGTTCTTTAAAGTTTTTAATCTTCAGACTTTAAACCAAAAAATCTGAACAGTGAGACATTTATTTTTACTTTGTGGAATTTTTAAAGATTAAGATTCTAACGTTTAAAGTTTTGGAAAATTCAGTGTTAAAACACCCTCGCCTCACTCCAATAGCTTCACTCATACAGAACGCTGAAAAAGTAAAAACCCACTTCATGTTTATCTAATTTCTGTACAGAAAAGTGACAAAATCAATTAATATAAAAAAGGCAAAACAAAAAATTACAAGTAACATTGATTAGTGGAGTTCAAACCAAAACTGTAACAAAAACAAACGTTTGTAAAACGTGCAGAGCAGCTGATTGTGGAATAAAGCACGAGGCAGACACAGGATGATTATTAAACTTTGGTTGAGATGATGAACACAGCTTTGCAAAAGTCATAATGTTCCCGCAGTTTAAAATCCAGAAAATGTCCAGGCAGGCTTTTAAAATCCTGAATCTGAGTCTCTTAAGTTTAAAAAAAAAATTAATAGAAATATTTACATCAGAGGCAGACAGAAAACAAGAACTCCCATCATCACTGAGCTGCTTTAGTTTGGTAAAGATGTTTGACACAAAAGTCAAACTCAATTAATTCTGTATTTAAAGCTGATCAAAGTTAAAATGGTAAAAAAAAGGTCATTTTTTAGAATCTAAAAGAAAAGTTGAATTACTAACTCTCACAGTTACGAATCATCCTTTGTTTTCTAGAACAGAACAAATTTGTTATTTACAATCTAGTAGCTGCTGATTGGTCCCAACTGAACAAAACAAATACAAAATATTTCATTAACAAAAAAAACTTGATGTTTTCTCAGGTTTTTTACTTTTTCTTGTGAAAAAAAAAACTATAAAACATGGGGAAAAAGTGACAAATAAAATATATACATATATTTACAGCTTTTAAATAAGAAAAACATGGATAAAAGTGACAGCTGAGGCAGGAAGCAGGATCTTCATGAGGGTAAAAAAAACAGGTTTTCTGTGCTGCTGCTGTCGTACCACAAAATCTACTAACAGTTTGCATCATATTAAATTACTCTCTCTAAAAAAATTAAATTTTAAGTCAACAATCAGATGTCCACTGTCTAGGAAAACAAGAAAAAAATAACTTAAAATGATCTAATTAACATTAAAAAAAGATTTTTTAAACTCATGACTTACTTCTCCAAGGCAGCAGGATAAATCTTATTACCCCCAAAAACATCCTTCAGCATGCAGCAGCTGTCAGTGCTCATGTCGCATAATTAAACTACATAAAACATGAAAATTATCAAAGAAAAATCCTTTGAAAGCCTTTTATGTTTCATGTCGAATCATCACAACCAGAAAGTATATTCATCTGTTTGTTGCAGTACTTGTGCTATTATTTGATGACGATGTTTGTTTAGAAGTTTTATCATCTAAAATTTGAATATGTACATTTATATACAAGGTGTAGTTTAATCTGGGTATGCCTGATACTCTGACTCGAAATGTTTTACTTCATGATGTTAAAACAACTCTCACAGACGACGCCCCTGAACGCCGACAGCGTTCAGAGTCTTCGTCCCGCACATGTTCGCTCAACAAAACATGATCAGCTCGTTCCTTCAGCGACTGTAACGCAGAATAATTAAAGTTCAACAAATATACAAACTCCGCTTCAGGACAGTATTAGTGCTGAGAGTTGTCTTTAAAAAGGACAGATAGAGGGTTTAGTTGTTTTTTTGTTCTGCTCACTGTCTCAGCACTTCAGTCTGACAGCTTCTACATTTTTCACTTTTAGATAAAAAAAAACACACAAAGGACAGTTTAAGTGCAATGTGTTGCACCAACTTTTTTTTAGTCTGTATATATTACAATATTATTTTCTAAAGTTTTTCCCTAAATCCTGTCAGCACCGGTCACTGCGTGAAGTCTAGTGGTTCTGTTGAATTGTTGCCTTCTGAGAACCAGGAGGAAGATGTTTCCCTCTGATTCTTCGTCCAACTCACCAACCATCAGGCTCTTCCTGTTGCTGTGGCCACGCCCCTTTAGACCCCGCCCGACTGACTGATCAAGTATTCGGGCGTCTGTCTGCGGGCTGGCAGGGGTTGCCGCGAACTAGGCGAGGGGTGATGCTGGTGGCGCCCCCGGAGGGACGTGTTGTTGCTGTGGTGATGGTGGGGGCCGTGCTGGGAGGAGGGCGGAGGCGGGGTGGGGTCGCGGAGGGACGGGGGCACGGCGGACGACTTGATGGCAACGATTCGGGTGTCCATGACCTCGCAGTCGACCTGCATCATCATCTCGTAGCCCTGAGACGAGTTGTACAGACTCTCTGAGGAAGAGGACGAGAAAAACTCTTTAGCTTTCCGGATACTCTAAACCAGCGGGTGACTATATAATATTAATATATAATAATAACGTTAGTTAGTTAACGTTAATATATGTAGATAATATCCCTGCTCTAAACAAGCCGAGGTTGTTGCACACTCACCGTTGACGGACATGGCGGGCATCACCAGAGACATCTTGGGCCGGCTGGTTTTGTTGTGGCTGATGGCAGGAAGCAGCAGGTGGTCCTAGAAAAACAAAGACAGGAGGCGTTTTGCCTGGTTTATCGTTTGTTTTTGTTTTTTTAAAGGCTGATCCAAAACTGGAAAAACCTTTTCTGGCTCGGTTGCTTCTGAAACGTTTGCGTCGTCGTACCCGCCTGAAAGAGACGACATAGAAGGTGTCCTCTCTGCGATCAATGGCGTCCAGGAAGTCGCTGTAGGTGACCTCTGGACCAGGAAGTACTTTCAGATGACTGTAAAACCAGAAAGAGGACAGGAAAATTAAAAAAAAAAGTCACCTTTTTGACCTCGGGGCCCAATTTGTTGAACATAAAGAGCCACGAGACCCAGTCAGAAATTACCAATGTATGGATCAAAATGATAATTATTCTAAATCTTGGTTTATTTTTTATTGTATTTACATCATAACTAAACTATAACTAACATAACTAAATTAAATACACGTACAGTTTAAAAGTAAAACTATTAAATAATGACAAGACATGATTATAACAAACATTTTTATATTGTAACCTGCCCATAACAATTATTTGAACAAATACAAAAGGTCAGTCAACAGACCACTCAGGCACAAAAATATAAACAATAAAAATGGACAATTCAAAAAATAAAATTGTGGGCATAAAATAAATGAATTAAAAATGTTTAATGTAAACGTTTCAAATTTTAAAAATATGTAAAAATAAATATGTTAAAGTACAAATGAAAATAAAGCCTTTTTAAAGTTTTGCAACCATTAGTGACAAACAATAACAGTAACAACAGCTTTTTGACAAGTTTAAAAACTCTTTAAAATACATTCAAAATGTTTAAAAATAAACTACAAAAATTAATTTAAAGTGCAAATTAAAATATAGCTGTATCTGCAACAGTATTTGAAAATGTTTTGAACTTTTAAAATATTACATGGTAAAAACAGAAGCTGCTCTTCATATTAGTGACAAACTTTGGTCTTTTTTGACGAGTTACTTTTATTTTTGTTTCTACTTTTCATTTAAAATATGTTTCCATTCTCGGCAGGTTTCTAAGGTTCTTCTTCTACATATTAAAAGAAGTCGTTTAACATCTGAGTGGTGCACTACTGCTACTAGTGGTGAGAAAGTGTATTGCACCTTATTTAAAATCAATGCGGTCCCACGGCCCTCTGCGGCCCAAAGTTAAAAACTGTTGTTCTTTTGAGGCCCTCAAGGTGGCGCTCGTGACCCACAGGTTAAAAATCTCAGATCTAAACAATACTTTTTGTTTGTTTTGTTTTTTATAATTAAGTGGTGACACCTTTCACAACAGTCTCAGAACAATCAGGACATTTTATATGAAACCTTGATGAGGCTTCTGTACCTTTCTATGGAACCGTGAGCCTGGATTGGCAGATATCTGGAGAAGTTGGTCTTCCTCAGCTGAGCTTTCTGCAATGAAAGAAACGAGGCAAAAAGACTGAGAATCCTTGTGTAAAACTTCATAACCTAAATCAAAATACTGCTAGTAATTATAATAACTATCAAGCTTTGATTTTACTGTATGTACTAAGGCTGGGTATCATGGCCAATTCTCTAAATCTATTCAATTTTGATTCAAGTTTCAAAGGTTTTAAATTAAAGAGAAATTGCAAGTGACAGTGTAGTTGGATACATTCATTTTTAAGAAATTAACAATAACTTTTTTGATGAATAAGAAGTGATGGGAATAAAGTTGCAGGAGAAGAGGTGGGCTAMTGTAAGTGTACTTCTACCCACTCCTTTTGAGTGTATGAAAATTGTACATTTGTAATGTTCCTGTTACCTTCTGTTATGTTCATATAATTTATTAAAACTTGTTACTTATACTTTGTTAAAACCAATACAACTACAACATTTCATCACTGAATTTCATTAAGATGTTTCTTAAAGTTTAAAAATAATAATATTGGTAAAAAAAATGAAATATTTTGTTAGAATGTTGTCTTTCACACATTTATAGTTTCAGTCAGATGTTTACATAYAGTAGTTTTGGTTTGAAGCCTGCTTCGTTTCCGCTGCCTCTTAAGATAGTAAATCTTTACAAACAAAAGTCACCATGGTCTCTGATCTCTTTAAGTCCTGCGGAGTGTCAGCAGGTAATATTAGTGAATCCTTAGTCAGTGTGCATTGCCAATGCAATGCACACTATTGTTTTCATGTTTCTCTTTAATATTATTATTATTCCGCTTATTATTCCGTCTTCTTCCACGTCGCCACGCTACTCCTCCTGCATATTTTGTCCTACAGCTGCCATTGTAATTTCTATCTGTAAAGGTCCCGTGCCAAATGATTGCTATGCCTTTTGGTGCCTGTACAACTTATAGTTTTTGAAATATTAATGTTTAAACTTTATTCCAAACTTCATATAATGGGAGTCAATGGGGCCTTGTAATGGTCCAATACTGCCCCATGCTGTACTCAACTTGGTACTGCTCCATACTTTAATAATATTTAATCTCAATTGTTCAGTGTTTACAATACTAATATGATTGTATTTTGATGTTTTACTATAAAATTGTCTTAATACTGCTCTAATGTTGTAATATTATGCAGTTTAGTGTCAATAATTGTATTGGCAATGTGGCCTCTTTCTGCACACATACAAACCAACACCTGGCACCACACCCTGCCACAGCTCCATTGATCTAACGGTCTATGTAGTGGACTTTCATGTGGGAGCTCAGGGTTCAAAACCCGGCTAATGCAACTTCAACAAAAAATCTCTTCCAACTTCATATTGTCACTCAATTACCWTAATTACAAACACCTGCTGACGTGACAGGCACAAGCTGGTATAGAAAACACATTTGAACTTGGTCCCATTTCATTTTGCAAGTCCAATGCTGCAGGCAAAGCCATGCTGCAATGGCATGCAACGTGGCAATGCACACTTGTTTTTACATCGTAAAAACCCATGTCTAGTTTCTTTTGTTTTGCCCCAAACAACTTGTCAGAAGCTAACGTTAGCACTGAACGTCAACTGCATGTAAACGTACGGCAAGCCAAGAGTGACACAAAATATAGAAACATCTCTCAGCTTCATCACGCACAAGCCGCCATGGGAAAAAAATAAACAAAAAATTGATCTCATGCCCTATATACCGGTTTTACAAAATTTAAATGAAATCGATCCAAGTTCAATAAAATATTTTTTTTACCCAGCCCTAGTGTGCAGAAAAAAGATCATCTTAAATCTGCAAAATGCAGAGATTTTCTTGTTAAAACTTTTAAAAAATTTTTAAAAAGGCCAGATTTCTTACCTGGGTGATCTTTGCCTTCTTGGCGATTTTTGGTTTTCCTCCAGACTTCTTCCTGTCGATCTGATGTCGATGAACCCAACCTCTCAGCTCATCTGCCAGCCTGAAAACAGAAAACATTTCTGTTTGTGCAGCTTATAATGACTGCAGACAAAAACTCTTACACAAAGAGAATATGAACAAACTGTACAAAAAAAAARAAGTCTGGCTGACCTGAGGGACTCAGAGCGGTTGAACTGTCGGCAATCAGAGGAGGAGAAATAACGGTCGATGTCCTGCAGGGCCAAGTCCTTCATGTCACTGAACATGGCACTCAGGTTTCTGCATAACATAAAAAAATAATGTTTGTCAGGGTGAGGCACTGAGCAAGCAGACTCAGTTTCTATATATTTATAGACAAAATAAACTCTTTTTAAACTATATTATGTATAATATGTTCAACTGGGAATAAGCTCTGGGTTTATAAAGATGTGCAAATTCATAAATCGTGTGTTCATTTACATTTTACATAAAGTTTTTTTTATTTAGATTTATGGTTGAATGTAAAAGTTCATGTCAGTGTTTTGAGATAAAACTCGTTCCTGCAGAAGAACCTGTTACTCCACGTTTCAGGAGACGTGTTGAAAAACAAGTTGTGTTACACAATTAAAAAAATTTGCATATTAGCAGATAATGAGTCTGCAACAGGAAGAAAAATGGATTATTAAACGTATAAACGTGTCCTTTACTTTGTGAAAGGACAGCAGCAGCCTCAAACCTAGTACTGGTACTGAAACCACAGCCGTCTCACCGGAACTGAAAAGTCTCGGGGTCGTATCTCTCGGCCTCGCCTCTCCTCCATCGCTCGTCTCCCCCGTCCTCCTCTGCCTCCGTCTTGTCCTCCACTTTGCTGGGGGGCTGAGCTGCTGCCTGCTGCTCCGGTTTGATCTCGAGCAGCTGCCGTCCCGGAAATGACATCACGTCTTCCTGCAGGTCTGTGGGCAGCTTCCTGTCTGTGATGCTGCGAAGGTAAAACAACAAAAAAAAGGAACTCAACTCAAGAACAAAAAGAACAAATAAACTTCTGCTTTTGTTCAACGTTTTCAGTCATTTTTAATTCTGTAAATCGAGACATTTTATGATGAAAGCAAATAACATTCAAACAACTAAAACATATGAAGTGACTGAGTTGATG